CAGAACTCATACCTAGTTCTCTTTATTGAGACAAGTACACGTTATAGAGGGACATGCTTTGTTCATATTTAATGTCTGAAGTTTATAACCACTTTAAGTCTAATTTGCCAAAAATGGGGGCGTCTGAATGTGAGCATCCTAACCACTGGATTCAACAACTAATTTACTTCTGTTACCAGAACCAGGGATCCCCTAGCTCTAACCTCGGAAGCCTTGCTAACCCCCCGGTCTCGGTTCAGTCTAATATTTGCCTTCCCTACAGTGTGAATCCTACCTCTTCTGCTCAAGACAAATAGAGCAACAGGGGAAGACCGTGATTCTAATTGCAACAAACTGGCCCAGACAAATGCCCCCTCGTACCTCCCTATGTAGGTGGCACCCATTGTAGGGAGATCAGCCTCAGAGATATTGTCCCTGCCGTGAGCGCGTGCAGGGATGTTAGATCTGGGAGCTGCTGAACAAAGCTGTCCCTTGTAAACACAGAAGGCTTCTGTGTTTAAAAGTGACAGCAGGAGTGCAGGGTGAGAGCCGGAGGTGGCATAATGGAGAGTAACGGCCACATAAGGCCTGGCAGGCCGAATATGGCCCCACGGCCTTGTGTTTGACATACAGTGTGCCCTAGAGGTTCTGTATTGCAAAGTATTCTTTACGGTTGCTCTCCTGTCTGCCGAGCATGTTTATGAATTGCTGCCTTTCCTCTAAAGAGCCTTTCCTCATATTTCACAATGGCAAAGATGTCTTTGTCCAAGACCATACTTTCTCCAGAAGGTGGGTTCATTTTTCCTAAGCATCCAAACAAAATCTCTGTACATTCCCTGGGCATAGAGCCATTAGGGTATGCCTCAAGACTACTGCTCAAGATTGATTCCCTGTATGTCTTTTTTTTTTCTCTGAAACCCGCAAGGGACACCCTGCTTCAAAGTCTACCATTGCATGATGGATACAAAATCTGGATGAGTTAACATTTTTAGAGTTACAGCTCTTCCTGCACTTTTACATGCGCATTCCATCAGATCTGTGGGGATTTGCTGAGCATTTCGGCACCAGCTTTTGAGCACAAGGTTCTCCCAGTGACTCTAAGATTGGGGCTTCTGACCCTTGTTGTTGGGCCTGTTGGTAGGCTACACTTCTGTTTCATTGTTGCCTACCCTTCCTGTTCATTGCTTGGGAATGTCTCATGACGTATGAATATTCTGCCTGTATCCTGTACTGTACTGTACTGTTAGGAATTTTGTATTGCCTGTTCCATATCCATAAGCATAGGCAGGGCAGAGGGCACCCTCCCTTCAATTACTTGGTTTACTTTCCATCATTTGCTACAAAACAGAGAACTCCAAGAGTGGGGTAGAGATACAAAGGAGGCGTGTCCTTTTAAAGCTTTTCCTGTGTCCAGTCACCCTAAAGGTGTACACCCCTATAACCCATGAAATATGAATATTCTGCCTGTGCCCGTACTGTCCTCCAAGATGGTCCTGTAGCCCTTTCCATCCTTGTGCAGGTGTACAATCTTGTCCCTGACGTCATTTGACAGCTCTTTGGTCTTGCCAATAGTGGTGAGCTTTGAATGGAAGAAAGAGATTCTGTAGACAGGTGTCTTTTATACACATAACGAGTTGTCGTTAGGAGCACCGTCTTAACTGCTTCCTGTCCGCCCTATAGCAGAAGTACCGCTACAGGTCGTCATGGGTGCTCAAAAATGTGTGTGTGTGTGTGTGTATATATACGTGATTTTGCAGTTTCAGGTAGAGGGCGTGCCCTACCTGCGCCGCCATTCGCGGCTTCAACAGTCAATTATCGGGTCCAGCCATGCAAAGCAGTGTGCTTATAGAGAAACCACTAACACAGAACAGTGTAAAACGGCACACCGTTAACCCTTTGATCACCCCACATGTTAACCCCTTCCTGCCCAGTGCCATTAGTACAGTGTCAGTGCTTTTTTATTAGCACTGATCACTGTATTGGTGTCACTGGGGATGTCAGTGATACTAAGTCAGTTCCCCCCCAGTGTCAGAATGCCTACCACAGTCACGCTATAAGTCGCTGATTGCTGCCATTACTAGTAAAAATAATTTTTAAAAAAATCCCAGCGTATATATACCACCATTTGTAAACACTATAACGTTCCTGTAAACCAATTAATTTACATGTATTGGGATTTGTTTTAGCAAAGACATGTAGCAGAATACATTATGGCCTAACTTTATGACGAAATTTGATTTTTTTTTTTTTTTTCATTTTTACTGGACATGTTTAATAGCAAAAAGTCAAAAATATTGTTTTTCTTCCTCAAAATTGTCGATTTTTTTTTTTTTTTTTTATATAGCACAAAAAATAAAAACCGCACAGGCGATCAAATACCATAGAAAGAGAGCTCTATTTGTGGGGAAAAAAGGACACCAATTTAATTTGTGTGTAGCGTTGCATGACTACGCAGTTGTCAGCTAAAGTAACGCAGCGCCGTAGAGCAAAAAATAGCCTGGTCAGGAAGGGGGGTAAATCCTCTGCAGGGCAAGTGTTTAAATTGAAAGGACTAATCTGTGTACCATGAGCACATAGCCAGTCTGTGGGAGCAAGAATTATTGTTTGGTAGAGGATCAAATACTTATTTTACCCACTGAACTGCATCTCATTTTATAATCTTTGTATCGTGTTTTTTTTTTTTTTTTCCCTGGATTTTTGGTTGATATTCTGTGTTTCTTTTTTAAAACATACCTATGATAAAAATTAGAGGCTTCTCATTTCTTTGTAAGTGGGAAAACTTACAAAATCTGTAGGGGATCAAATAATTATTTTCCCCACTGTATAGAATTTACAGATATGTCAATTCTTCTTTTTTCAGGAATAATAGTTGTAAAATAACTGCAGACAAAATGAAGACAGTAAAAAAAAAGTGTTCTCGAACATAAGGGGTCAGTGTAGCAGCAAGTCCTTATTTAAAAATTGCTCCCTTGCATTGGTGGTTAATGTAGATGAGAGATCAAGCTACTACTGCTCACTGTTCAATGAACCCTTAGTAGCCAGGCTTCTCATTTTTCTGATTTGCTCTCCAGGCTTCAGTTCCAATTTCATTGTTTTCCCTGTTTATATAATGTCGCCCCAACAATAGCAGAAGCCAGGTCCTATCACTGATCCTAGAGAAGATCATGGCTAACATTGGACATAACAATGGACTGTTTCCCATATTGTTCTGGTACACCTAAACTTTATAAACCATAGTGTATACGTTGACCAGAAATAGAATCAAAATGCAGATAATCAGTATATTGCTGTAAAAAGCTTCATACACACACGCTGTCGGGTGAAGTGATCTCTGACCGGCACTACAAGTATAGGCCTAGCTGGATGAGAGAGAGCGCGTTCCTAGGTAAAATTTTGCAGCCACTGCCCAGGGGGTTAAAAACAACGCTGTGGTGACCACCAATTTTGTGGTGGCAGTGGGAGGTGTAATAAAAACTGCTACTGGGGGAATTGTTTTGGCCACTGGCACCGATGGTTCCACCTTTCCCATTAGGGTGCATTGTAGTCATAGCAAAAAAAATGCAGCAGAACCAACATTTCTCAGGCCTGAAGTGTGATGCAGAACATTAATTTTGAATGGACTGCTGGTACCTGAAATCCCTGCTATTGTGTGACCTAGGCAAGTGTCGGGGGCCACCTCAGGTCCTGTTGACCTCCAATGATCTAGAGCAGCCTTTCTCAATCAGGGTGCCTTGAAGTTTCTTCAGGGGTGCCTTGGCAGAATGTCTAAAAATTGTCCAAAAGTTGTGTACAAGCCAGCAGGTGGATCAAGCCTGCCTTTTAGTTACACAAAGTCACAGGTATTCATTGTGTATCATTATGACCTTCTAGCTGCCAGTGTCCTGACAACCAATGACATCAGTTGATAAGGAGGATGTCAGGCTGCCTGCACAGCATCCTAGTTTTACCCTCCCTGTCCCCTCCATCAGTGTTGGGGTCACATTAGTTCAGTGGTGGAGAAAAAACTGAGGGAGAAGAGAAACATTGGAATAATAGTCAGTGCCAGCGTGCAAAAGTGTATTTGCTTTGTAAGAATAAATCCCCTCTAATGTTGGGTGTCCTACATGTGTGGAGGTTGCTGCGTTATATAAAAACTAGAATAGTTTTTTACATTTTAGAATGGGGTTCCCTTTTAAAATTGTGGAATTTTAGAATGGGGTGCCTGAAGAGTGTCCATAATTTTAAAGGGTGCTTTGATCAAAAAAGTTGAGAAACACTGTCATAGAGCATGTACTGAGCAATCGGAGTGTAACCTGGTACTGCTTGTGTCTGACATGCAGGGGCCATGACTGCTCCAATTCTACTAGTGCTGTCAGGAAGGAGAGCGAACCTCCTTGTGGAATGCTGAAGATCAGGAAGCCTAATTAGATGGCCATGACGGTGGTGTATGTGTAGAATGCCTGTAGGTGTCAGGGACATGGTGTGTACATGGCATGTAGGGGGATGATGATGATGATGATGATGATGTCAGGGGTGCAGTTGTCACATCACTCAGGGTGCAGTGTAGGGAGCGGTCAGTAGAGGGCGCTCGTGTATTGCAGTAGTCGCTCCAACCCCCCCCCCCCCCCCCCGGGCCCGCAGTGCTGAGCTCGGTGGGGATGTTGTAGTGTACATGGCGCTGTGCTCCTTCCATGGTGGAGGTAGTGGCGTTCGGGATGATGGAGAGCCGGTCTAGTGTAAGGGAGGGAGAGAGAAGTGAGCGCTGTGCTGCCGGGCGGATAGACGGGCAGATGATGAAATCCATGGACAGCGCTCTCCCCGCTCCTGAAAGGGTTGCTGGGAAGAGACAGTGGGCGTTCCCCATCGGCGTGCTGGCCAATGGGCGCCCAGTGCATATATTATGTAAATGAGGCCGGCTCTCAGCTGAGCCTGGGAAGCGCTGAGCTGGGACATTTCTTCCCGCAGCATCCTGAGGACCAGAGCGGCTTCATGTCCGCCGAGCGCCCCTCGTCCTGGGCCGGACATGTAGAGCGGAGGCCGCCATGGATCTAGGGGTGTACCAGCTCCGCAACTTCTCCATCTCCTTCCTCTCCTCCCTGCTCGGCACAGACACCGCCGCGCCCCTCACACTAGACAGCAGGTACCTGGACTGGGGGGGGGGGGGCGCACCGAGTACTGTGTGATGCGGGGACTGTCTGTACACTGTGTGACTGATCTCTATGGTGACCGGACAACTCATCAGGATGTTTTTTTGTCTTTCAGCTCCTCCGGTGCCAGCGTGGTAGCGATCGACAACAAGATCGAGCAAGCCATGGTAGGTGGAGAGCGGAGTGTGTGGGGGGGATGCTGAGATATGGGGGGAGGCAGGGCGAGGGGGGCCCATATTTCCTCTTTGTTATTGGAGCGATGCCCGGAGCGGTGCGGCTCTTCTCTCTCACGCGATTCCCTGCTCGCTGTTACTAGGCAGGAGGAGAACCTTTAACTCCCGGCTATAAATAACTCGCTCCTCCATTGGTCCGACCGCAGCCAGGGTGGGCGGACTGAGATGGGTTCTGCTCATGACGTCATGGACTTAGAGGAAAACACTATGCGGCAACCTGCTCTGCTCAGACTAGCTGCAGCCGGTGTGCGCCGGGCGGGCCCTCATCCCGCTATTGTCCTCCATCCACCATCATCATCCTCATCGGGGCACCATGATAGTAGGACGCTGTGTGTGACATTGTCCTTACTGCAGGAAACTTCTTCCTGTGCAATCCATCCCTCCACACCTGTACATCTATAGACACAGCAGGTGTAATCCTATACACGGCTCATCGTGTTGTATGATGTCTCCATGATCAGCATCCTGACCCATAAAATACCCCCCCCCCATTACATATGTCTGTACACTGCCCCCCCCCTACATGGCCATGTAATCCAATGTACAGACCAGTGTATCATTGTCATTACTGCAGGAAGGTCTTCATCCTGTACATCTATAGACACAGCAAATGTAATCCTATACACGGCTCGTGTTGTATGATGTCTCCATGATCAGCATCCTGCCCCATAAGATACCCATACACCCCCCCCCATTACATATGTCTGTACACCCCCCCTACATAGCCATGTAATCCAACACGTACATGACCAGTAATGTATCATTGTCATTACTGCAGGAAGGTCTTCATCCTGTACATATATCTGTACACAGCACAATGTAATCCAATGTACAGACCAGTGTGTCATTGTCATGTATGCAGGAAGTCTCCATCCTGTACATCTATAGACATCCTGCAAATGTAATCCTATACACGGCTCCATTACATGTGTTGTACACTGTCTCCCTGATCAGCATCCTGTAATCATACAGACCATACACCCCCCATTACTGCATTGAATATCATCCTGTACATCTATAGACATAGCAAATGTAATCCTATACACAGCTCATTATGTGTTGAATGCTGTCTCCCTGATCAGCATCCTGCCCCATAAGATACCCATAAAACCCCCCCACCCCCCCCCCCCCCCCCCCCCCATTGCATATGTCTGTACGTACACTGCAAGTGTAATCCCCCGGCCCCCCCCCCCCACATAGCCATGTAATCCAATGTGCAGGCCAACACTGTATGTGTCTTTGTCATTACTGCAGGAAGGTCTTCATCCTGTACATCTATAGACATAGCAGGTGTAATCCTATACACGGCTCATCGTGTTGTATGATGTCTCCCTGATCAGCATCCTGCCCCATAAAATACTCATACCCCCTATTACATATGTTTGTACACTGCCCCCCCCTACATAGCCATGTAATCCAATATGCAGGCCAACGCTGTGTGTGTCATTGTCATTACTGCAGGAAGGTCTTCATCCTGTACATCTATAGACACAGCAAATGTAATCCTATACACGGCTCATCATGTGTTGTATGATGTCTCCCTGATCAGCATCCTGCCCCATAAGATACCCATACACCCCTCCCCCCCATCCATTACATATGTCTGTACACTGCAAGTGTAATCCTATACACAGCTCATTATGTATTGTATGCGGTCTCCCTGATCAGCATCCTGCCCCATAAGATACCCATACACCCCCCCCCCCCATTACATATGTCTGTACGTACACTGCAAGTGTAATCCTATACACGGCTCATCATGTATTGTGTAATGTCTCCCTGATCAGAATCCTGCCCCATAAGATACCCATACCCCTCCATTACATATGTCTGTACACTGCCCCCCCTACATAGCCATGTAATCCAATGTACAGACCAGTTCCGTGTGTGTCACAATGTCATTACTGCAGAAAGGTCTTCATCCTGTACATCTATAGACACCGCAGGTGTAATCCTATACACGGCTCATCATGTATTGTAGATGGTCTCCCTGGTCAGCATCCTGCCCCCTAAGATACCCATACCCCCCCCCCCCCCCCCATTACATATGTCTGTACACTGTCCCCTACATGGTCATGTAATCCATTGCACAGACCAGTGTGTCATTGTCATTACTGCAGGAAGGTCTTCATCCTGTACATCTATAGACACTGCAAGTGTAGCCATATAACACGGCTCATCATGTATTGTCTAATGTCTCCATGATCAGCACCGTGCCCCGTAGGAAACCATACCACCCCCCATTACATTTCCTATGGATTTACAAGGCTTTGTAGGGGGAGCAGTGTACAGGCATATGTAATGGGGGGGTGTATGGGTATCTTATGGGGCAGGATACTGATCATGGAGACGTTAGACAATACATGATGAGCTGTGTTATAGGGTTACACTTGCGGTGTCTATAGATGTGCAGGATGAAGACCTTCCTGCAGTAATGACAATGACATACACAGCACTGGCCAGTACATTGGATTACGTGGCTTTGTAGGGGAGCAGTGTACAGACATATGTAATACAATGTACTGGCCAATGCTGTGAATGTCAATACTGCAGGAAAGTCTTCATCCTGTACATCTATAGACACCACAAGTGTAACCCTAGACAAGGACCATAATGTATTGTATAATGTCTCCCTGATCAGCATCCTGCCCTATAGGATACCCATACCACCCCTTCCTATGTATTTACTCCATGTATTACATATGTCTGTACACTGATACACTACCCACCCCCCCCCTACATAGCCATGTAATCCAATGTACAGGCCAGTTCCGTGTAAACCCTCAATCATACCCCAATATGAATTAGATTGTGAAAGGAGATAATCATTCAATGTATACAGTGTCCTGGGTGGGATGTGAACAATAGGGCTCAGCTTCTCCTGTGTGTGTTGCTGCCACTCTATAGCTTACCATATATAAAGTCTTTTTAATGTGTGGTATACCCAGAATGACTTAAAGTACCCCTGTGTTTAGAGCAAATAGAGAGGTTACTGTTCTGACTGCTTTCTAAAAATGTCAGTTTCCTGGCTGCAATTCAAACCTGAAACAATCCTACATAAGTCAGAATTCTCTACCTTTTGGATTTTGTTTCTGATCAGTGACTCAAATGATCAGCACAAAAGCATTAACATGACAGCCAGGCAGATAGCATTTTCAGGGAGACCAGGGATGGTCACCTATACAATTCTGTGATGGGTTTCCTTTTAAAAGAAAAATTCAGGAGCTCACTGAAATGCCAGGCTGAGGAGGAGCCAGAACCTACTGGCTCAGTCCCCCAGCAGTGCACTGAGAGGCTGAGCCAGCTGCCAGAAAGGAATCTGGGTGGATCACTTTAATGCATTCTTTGTATTAAGGTAAAAAAATATTTAGGTATCAGTATCCCCCTCCTCCCTCCATTTTTACTTACCTGAGCCCTCATTTAATCCAGCGCTGTGCACATGTGCAGCTCTTCTCTCCTCTCATTTTCGGGTTTCACAGGCTCTGCTGCTGTCAATAAAAGACAGTGGGGCAGGGCCAAGTGCAGCTGTCTGTGTCAATGGACACAGCGGGGCTCGGGAGCAAGCTTGCACGAATGCCCCCATGGGAAACTGCTTTCTATGGGGACAATGGACAGAGTGTAGGAGCCAGGAGCGTGTCTGCAAGGAAACCAAGCAGAGGAGGTTAAGGGTCACTCTGTGCAATTCCATTGCATAGAGCAGGTAAGTATGAACCTGTTTGAAAAAAAAAAATTACCTTTACAACCACTTTTAAAGTCAGGATCTCTCCAGAGCCCAACTGTTAGCTGAATACAGGTCACAGGAGTGCAGAACGAAGTGCACTCTTGTGATTTCCAGGAGAAGTACAGCCAAATTACTTTGGCCATGCTTTTTCTTTTAAGATGATCTTTTAGCGTCCAATAGAACCAGACTTACAAAATAAAACCGTTGTGAATAGGCAAGATATCTATTGTAAAAGAGACATGCTTTCCTCATCTCCATGCAAAAGACTAGACTGGCCCACCTCTGCAGAGTGTTCTTTAAAATGTACACTAAGCTGTGCATGCGGAGCTTGGGGTACATTTTCAGCCTGATGGCTGTATGCCAGGATAAATGGATTTCTGCGCATGCACAGCAGTTACATCATCCCTCACCAGCCAGTCAAGACAGCTGAAGACCTGGAAGATGGTGGTGAGGGACCTAGTGGATGTGGGTCAGTGGAGGGTATTTGGGAAGGTTAGTTCAGCTTTAAGCAGGTTAGGTGTTCATCGTTGCTGTCTACAGTGATAATTGCAGAAGCACAAGAGTACTTGGCAGTATTTTGTTTACCTAACCCTAAGGTACATCCCTTCTTCCAAACCTTTTTTTGTTTCTAGAGCAGCGTAATATATTTATTATCACATTTTTCTTTCTTTCCTACATCTGGTTCCTGGAACATTAAATGTATTTTTTGTTGTGCAGGATTTGGTTAAAAGCCACCTGATGTATGCAGTTCGAGAAGAGGTGGAGGTGTTAAAAGAGCAGATCAAGGAGCTGATAGAGAAGAACTCCCAGCTGGAACAAGAAAACAATTTGTTGAAGACCCTGGCAAGTCCAGAGCAGCTTGCCCAGTTCCAGGCGCAGCTCCAGAGCGGCTCCCCTCCCTCTTCATCCTCACAGCCTGTAACAGGCACCCCAACCCCCGCACAGCCAGCCTCACAAAGCTCCGGACCCTCCGCATAGCAGCTTCATCTCATAACAAGTCATCATAAATGGGGCCTGATCCACTCTGACTTTACACCACTACAACCATGAATACTGAAGAGGTCTGGAACCATACCTATAGTAAAAGTCTGATGGGAACTCGCTTCTGAGTGCTTTAATGCTTGGACTTGACATTTACAGAGGAGGTGACCAACATTTCACCCTTCTTTTATTGCTATGAAGTGTCCTAATAATTTCAGTGACTGCAAAACTCATAAGATTCTCTCTCTTGGATGTGCCTCTGATCTACACTTCATATTTAAGGAGCAGGTGCCGAATGTGCCTCCCACTCTTCTGCGGCTTCCAGCTTGGTTGCACACCTCCCCCCTTTTCAGTATTAGAGCTGTTTCCACTCCACCTCCTTTTCATACTTGGACTCCAAGGAATACTTCTTTCAAGGCGTGTTGCATTGGAAATGAGCCGTTCTGCTTGGACAGTGATAATGTAAATACACCTAGCACTGCATTGTATGCAAGCTGTGATTCCTTCATTTTTTGTTTTATAAATATTTTATTTCATTTTATCTATGAAACACGCACTGCTGTACATGATGCCAGTATGTTCAGGTGTAAAGGTGGTACAGTAGTGGATTGATTTGGACTGGAAATGACCCATGGTTTTTCTGAGGGAGCTTTCCACCACAACGACACCTTCTTCCCTGTGGGTGAAGCTATTGAAGTGTTCTACTGCTTGAGCCCTTCATTTGCAATATCTGCTATTGATACAATAGGATCTGTTGTGAGAAGATGCTGTTGGAAACTAGGAATATTATTATTATTATTATTATTGTTTCAATGAAGTTAATTTGCCTACTGTATATTTGTGTATGTAGTGTAAGTACTCTGTAAAATAGAACTCTTGTAAGTACTACTTAGGTTGTACAGATTGAAATTTAGTTCCATTGGCTGAACTGAAATGTTTTGATTTTGTTTTCTGTCTTTTTTTTTTTTTTTTTTTTTAATTTTTAAAGCTGCTAGCTCTTTAGGAGTCAGATGGACCCTAGATGGAATTAATCTGGCACTAAAGGGTTTAGCCAAGAGCACACCTGCACAACTGTTTAGGACGTAGAAGTAGATAGACCTTGGCTCTCCTGTTATTGTTGACGCTGGTCTCATAGCATTCTCCGCAGCATAGTGTGGAGATGCATGCTGGGATTTGTGGTTGAACAAGAACCTGAAAGCCACAGGATGCATATACACATAGGACATGACAGATTCATGCCACTTGTATTCTTTCTCAAAACTTGCCTTGGCTGAGAATCTTTTGAAGCAAACTCCAGTTCACCATTTTTTTTTTTGTCTTGGTTTAAACACTCCAGATACTGACCACTTTCCGCTAATCTAAAAGAATATACGAGCTGTAAGGTAGTATGCATACGTTGTGCATGTTCTCTAAACAGTTGTAACACGTCATTGTATTTAACTGTTGCACTTGTCAACTTTCAATAAAGCATTCATTGTTGGTAAAGAAATGCTTTTGTAAATTAGCTGACTCTTGGGGCCCCTAAAATGACCTTGGACAGTGTTTTCCTATAGACTAGACGGTATGGTCCTTTTTATGTCGAATTGGCAAAGTACAAAATTAACATCAAGCCAGATTTATGGTCTCATGGAAGCTTTGTGCTTGAATCATTTCCGTTATGGTATTTTCTATACAGACAAGTTGGATTTTCCTCTGGAAATGAGCTGTGTTGGCATATTCCAGCATGCAGGCAGTCAGAGCCGTGCTGCTGAGCTTAGTAGATTTATCATGAAACACGTATTCACTTAGCAACAAGCCCCACCCCTAACAGCGAGCTGCAAAGGGTTTCCCGTGCACACAGCCTGCAGGCACATGAAGATTACATGGAAAATGTTGCGTGATTTTACAAATCCTGAGAGTCTTGAGTGTGTTGGCATGAGACTTGAAAGCATATTACAGCAGCCCTATTCTAAAAGCACCTCTGTAATCATTATTTGCTGCTGATTTTTTTTTCCACACATCAGAAATCTCATACTATATTTGGCAGTCTGCCTCTCCAAATGATTTGAATGTTCCACTTTTTGCTGGCACAGGGCGTGGTTACACTTTTCTGAGTTATTTTTAGCATTTCATTCCTTCTCCAGATCATTTCTCTGGAGCATTCAGTGTGTTCTATATAGCAGGATGACGGAGCCAAAGTTCATATTGCTACAGTGATAGACTTTTATATTTGGCCCACAATGGCAAATGTCAAGATCTCGCATTTATAATATTTTGGGCTTAAACAGTATGGGTCTTTTTTATAAAGGTTTTCACACAACTTTCTCCAAGGATTCTCATATTTTTCCAATCAAATCCGATTAGAAAAAAAAAGGAGGAAGCTATGGGAATCTTGTGTAAAAACATGTATAAATAGACCCCCATGAAGGGTAAGAACCTCTGGATTTTTATTGCTGTCCATGTCCCTATTGGGAATGTTCCTGTGTTGTCACTTGGTAACAACAGGCAATTAATGGTTTTTTTTTTTTTTGTTAACTGCTGGAAGTGGCATCTGATTAGAACTGCCCTTTTTAATTTTGTGCAGAATGCCTTCTTTTCCAGTGTGGACCCCATAAGAGAAATTTTGAGAATATATTCCTATTAGGAACACAGACATAAGTTTATTTAAAAAAAAAAAAAAGTTTGAAGCCTTCCTCACCGTTTAAAGCTAAAATGATCATTTATGGATGTTGTGCTTTAAAGGGACTGCTAAAAATAATTAAAAAAAAAAAAAAACGTTCTTCCAAAAGCTCTATAGCTACAAAAAGCAAATTAATTATTGCCTCTTCTGTTTCCCGCACCCCTGAACATCTCTCTAGTATTGAGTAATCTGTGCCTAAGTTGTCTTTCGAGACTGACCCCTCAGAAGTGTCTATCTTCTCGGTTCCCCTCAGGGATTCTTCCTGCTGATCTCCAGGTTACTGCTGTATCTTGTAAGGTGTGGAGGTCTCAGATACATTTTAATCCAGGGATTGCTCCGCATTGAAGCGATATTTGGTGGTGCCAGGTAGCTAGAAAAGTAAGTATTAATTGCTTCTTTGTCACTTCAAACTGCCTGTACCTGCAGAACCACTTTAACCAATACAAGGACGTTTGTGAAATACAAGTGCCAGTTTTATAGCAGATGTAAAATCAATATTCAAACTAGTTCATACTAGCTTTAAAAATTTGAAAAGCACCAGAGAGGGTAGATGGAAGTGTTAGGGCTCATGTACACGGGACGTTTGGAAAACTCTTCTGAACGATGGAAACTGACTGCTGGAAAACGTAGGTTAAAAAAGTCTGTTTAGCCACGTTTGCATACCGCGTTTATGCGCGTTTGCATTTAGAAGTGTTTTTTTTTTTTTAAGATAACCTCAGGAGACCTTCCAAAATGCCCAGAATGCACTGAAAAACCGTAAAAAATTAAGTATTTCAGACATTTTAAAAAGAAATAGAGCAGAAACAGAGAGAGCAGTATATGTTGAGATGACCTGTCTTTTCTGGTTGTTTTCACTATAGATTCCATCATGAGCATAATGTAGCACGTTCTACCATTTGTTCCTAAACGCAAAACCTGGAAATGACTGCGCTGGTGTACTAGGTCCATTTGAATACATGGAAAACACTTTGCATGCATTTCTGATGATGAAAAAAGGCTCTGAACAGCATCTGGATATGGAACAGTTAAAAAACGCTAATAAGCGCAAAACGCTTATAAATGCAGTTAACTGCTTATACAAGTGTTTTGCATTTGGAACACTGATAAAATCTACTCCTGAACGCAAGTTTGGTGCGTAAAAAAAAAAAAAAAAAAAAAAAAGACTAAACTCAACTGCCTGTAAACAACATAGTGTACATGGACACATAGGAAATCATTAGGGAGAGTTCAGGGGCTGCTAAAAAAAAATGCAGAAAACCTCCTGAACGTGAGTTTATCAGCTGCAGTGTACATGAGCTCTTAAAGCCCAATTGTTCTTTCAGTTTGAATTGGCTAAATACATTCCAACTGCGATTGGAGAGCTCTGATTCAGCAGGGAGTGTGCTGGACCTTCTCCAAAGAGACCACTGCTTCAGCACAGGGCAAGAATCTCCATTAGCATCTGGCAGTGTCAGACTTTCCTACTCAAGCTGTGGCTGGCATTTAAAAAAAAAAAAAAAAAAACTAGGTCTTGTCACATCTTTTGTTTCGCTGCACCTTAGAATGCATTTGTCTAATTTAAAATGAAAGTTCAGTCGGGCTTTATATGTAGATAGTTATTATTATACAATATTTATATAGTGCCAACAGTTTGCTCAGCGCTGTACATTATAATAAGAGACAGTACATGAGACAGTACAGTAACAATACAATACACGAGGGGTTCGAGGGCCCTGCTCCTTGGAGCTTACAATCTAGGTTACAGTTAAAGCTGTGATAAGCAAATCCTGTTGCAATTTGACTTAATTTGAACGTGACCTGAAGCCATGGCAGATGGGGCTTTGATTTAGTGTTCAGGGAATGTAAATATACTGCTGACTTTGATGCCCACAATGCGGTTGCCGCAGGTCATGTGGCCTAACACACCAGTCTTAAACTTAAAATGCGTGGGCTTGCTTATGACAATGGCTGGCTTGCATTATAGATCTTCTGACTACCCATCCCCTTAAAATGCACCTTTGCCCAGGCTATGGACATTAAAGTTTAAACAAATTCTTAAACAGTAAAAGAGCTTTACAAACAAGCCAACTTATCTAGCTGTTTGTAATTGAAATAATTCATCCTCAAAGATCACAACAATAAGCTCTGCAGTTGAATTTAGGTTGGTTTCTAACATCTTGCAAGCACCTGGTGTGGCATGTGTACTAGGGTTGCCACCACATCCCTTTAGAACCGAACACAAATGCACTGGTTCTGAGGCTAATTTATTGCAGATAAGGCACTAGGTGAGTTTATTTACCACCAATGTGGTGTCTGTGAGCTTCCTTGCCAACGCAGACACTATGGGGTTTATTTACTA